TGAAGAAATTACAAAACGTGTCCTTGAAAGACACAGTGAAGAGAGGTGATCATTTCGACGAATTCGAGCCAATATTTTACGACTGGTTTTCAAGATATAACTTGCAAGTATATACATGTGTGTGTGTGTGTAAAGGAAGAACTAAAAAAAAAAAAAAACAATACAAGGACGTGACCTCTGTGTCCTTATAACTAGTTTCGATCATTGTCCTTTTGTACACACAAGTATTCAGTTTGCATCGAAATGGTGTACTTACGTGTTTCACACTTACAAAAAAGAAGCCTATAATTCTATAGGCATTTGAAGAACTTGTAGCATTCCGCCACAATTTAATTCTTCGTATTTCATTGGTGGTAGTGTCCAGGGTCACTGATGAGGAGTGGAATTCTCCGAAAATAATTTGGCTCAAAGACACACCCCCAATGAAATAATAGACCATTCCAAGCTCTTATTTGTTGTTAAACAAATGTTTAAACAACTCTATTCAAATATTCAGCTTGCAGTGTTTAGAACTTTTACAGAAAAATAAATTTCTGTTCTGTATTTTGTCAGAAACTAAGTGAAAAAATCAACAGGTTGGGGAGAGAGGGTGCGAATAAAAAATGACCATACTTAAAAGGGGACTATGGATAGAAAATATTCGGAACATTAACAGTTGAAAAATAACAATCTTACGCCATCTATGAGAAGCACTTGTAAGTTTTCACGTACCAGTTTATTATTCTAATTCGAATATGACCAAAACATTTTTCGTATAAAATAAAGATAGAATAAAGGTACCAGCTACACAAAGATGTGATATGTGCTTATATTTAAGTAGTTCAATTAGAGGGGATTGCTAATGCATTAATTGTAGTTGTAGATGAGGGTAAGTATTTAGATTTGATGCATTTGGATTTTCAGAAAGCATTTGACAAGGTGCCACATAAAAGGCTTGTAAAAAATTATATCCGTATGTGTGGATAAGTCAGGATAAATTGGATAGGAGAGTGGCTGGATGAAAGAAAGCAGAGGGTTGTCACAAATTGAGTCTAGTCAAACTGGATTAATGTCACAAGTGGGGTACATCAAGACTCACCCCTAGGATCTTTGCTCTTTTTGGTTTACATCAGTGACATAGATGAAAGAATGGTCAATAAACTACTTAACTTTGCAGATGATATCAAGGTCTTGGGTATTGCTAGCTGTGAAGAGGATGCTGCTGTTTTACAAAAGGATTTAGATCAGTTAGTGAGTTGGGCAAATAAATGTTAGATGGGTTGTAATTATAGTAAATGCAAGTTAATGCATGTGGGTTATCATAATTTGAATTATAAGTATAATTTGGATTGGAATTAACCTTAACAGTGTTATGAAAGAAAGGGATCTTGGTATAATAGTCGATCAGTCTCTAAAGCCATCCAAGCGTAGTGCTGTTGCTAGTGATAGGGCAAATAAGATTTTAGGTTTTATCTTCAGAAATATTGAATACAACTCTAAAGAGGTTATGCTTTCATTGTATAGGCTGGTTAGGCCAAATTTGGAATATTGTGTTCAGTCTTGGGCTCTTTAACTTAGGACATTGAATTGTTGGAAAGGGTTCAGAGAAGGGTTGCCTGGGATGGAGGGGTTGTCATAGAAGGAGAGGTTGAAATCTCTCAAATTATTTTCTCTTGAAGAAAGAAGAGTTAGGGGGGATCTGATTGAGGTGTTTAAGATTGTAAAAGGAATTGAAAGTGTTAATGCATCATCTTTTTCATATTTAACAGTGAAAATAGTATGACTAGGGGACACAAGTATAAATTTTGGCAAGGTGGCTGTCATCTTCAGCTAAGACAGTTTCATTTTTTTAACAGGGTGGTTGGCCTTTGGAAAGGGTTGCCTTTGGATGTTGTAGAGGTAGTAAATTTAAGTGAGTTTAAGAAAACGCTTGATAAGTATATGAATGACAAGGGCAGGGTTTAAGATTTTTTAAAAATTATTTAAATTTAGTTTAGAGAATAGAATAGAGATGACCAATAGGTCCCATGTTGTTCCTAAACATTATTTTATGTTAAAAAATCGAGCCAAGTTACATAAAATGCTGAGCTCTGTAAGTATATAATCCAACAAAAAGAGCAAAGTTTTATAAAGATACACATATATGTAAACATTTAATATTAAAATTGCTACTAAGTTAAACAAGACACAACTTTTGCAAGCATGACCTCCACATTTTGTATTCATATTTCTTCTAGTTTATGCTGCAATGGAAACGGACGGACCAAGATCAATGTGCTAAGCTATCTACGCAAAATAACCTTCATAGTGTAAAAAGTAATAATGATATCGAATAATTATAATATTCAACATTTCAAACACTAAAACCAAAAATAAATAAAATTGCTGTTTTTGTCGTTTAACAGGTTCTTTTAGAAATATTTGTCAAAAACAATGTGAAGTCCAGTCGTCGTAACGATAACGAATTAATTTATTTCTTCAATAACGTTTGCTACAGACTAACCTTCGTTGATAGGCCTAACTTTACAATCTATACCAGCATTTCTCAAATTGGGGTCTGCAAGTCATGTCCGAAATTTCATTAAAATAATTTTCTAATATGATCTATATAACAAAAAATATTTTCTCAGAATTAAATTATTTAATTTTGAAATACAGTTTTTCTTGTACACGGAATCTTCTTTTTCAAAACAAACAACATCGATAAATTTGAGGTTCCGCGAAAAATAGTTAAATTAAAAGGGGTACTCAGGTTTCTAAAGTTTGAGAACTGCTAAACTATACAATCTATCTTTCTATATAACACAAGAAGCTTTGTTTGTTTATTTGTTTGTATTAAGCACAAAGCTATACAATGGGCGATCTGTGTCCTGCCTCCTAGGGGTATCGAAACCTAGTTTCAAGTGTTGTAAGTCCGCAGACACACTGCTGTGCCACTAGGAGGCAATAGAGGAAGCTTCTAGATTCTACTGAGGCCTCATGGCCAATGATACAGTGGGACTTGCCCACCCAATTTCAGATTCCAAATCGATATAAAAATTAATAACAAATCATTAATACAAAAGATAAGTACAAAAAGAATAATAATTAAAACTGTATCATCATTTCTGTAAAATGTGTAGGGATGAATATGTAAATAAAAATATTTTTATTAAAAATGTCTACTTTTAAAACACATAGTATAATTGTAGCATCTATTTTATTAAGTATTTTAATGTCATATTTACGTGTCTTAAAAATCACAAAATATTTCACCATTTTAATGCACTGAAACTTGCTTTTCAGCCTGAACAGTCACACAGTGCCTGACGCCAGCTCTTGAGAGAGAGTGACATAGTGTATATTGGGCTGCATGAGAGCTCTAGCACTACCATTATACATAGTTGGGTGGGGGCGGTCACAAACAGATAGAGTGTTCTGTGACACTGAGAGTTTTGCGAAGAAAGTCATTTAATTTCAGGTGTAAACTGAATAAGTTATCTTTATCTACACTTTTAGTTTCAGAACTGATGAGACTCAGTTCCAATTTCACATGCCACAGTAACATTCAAGTGCGATCTGGCAGCAATACACAACTGGTAATATCTCGTGTTAGCAAACCCCTTATTAATGGTTAGCAATGTTTTTTATTCTACACATTTCGAGAGCGGAGCCGTATTCCAGTGGCGAGCTGCATTACTACTGTGTTTCTTTTTTCTTTTGAAATAGTTACAAGTTTAGGTTATTACCGTACTGTTTGGTGTCATTTGTTCTACAACTTATTTGTTTAGTTATTCAAGAAAATAAATGCAACTGAAAATTTACAGACGATTTTAACTAGTAGAGGGAAAATCACTGCGTCTAAAGGATTTATATTATTTATAAGAACTTATATATATTCATATGTGCAAGATTGTCCAGTCAGTTGAAAATAAATACTACATGTACATTCATTACCTTATAATATTTTTGATGTGTGTAATACTTCTTTATTGCACTCTGTAGGGTACCTACTCACTGCATGATTGTATTTATTTTAAGTAGCTCAATCAGAGGGGTTGCTAATACATTAATTATAATTGAAAGGGAAAAACTATAATATGGTAATTCGTATTGTGTGGATATTTAGTAATATTGGGCTGTTTTAAGATTTATTTATTTCCTTTTTTATTGTGGTCACAGTGAAGTATTAATAGTAGTTAAGTGATTTAGATTAGTTCCTCCCCCCCCCCAAAAAAAAACACGCCGCCCTTCTCCTAAATACGTGGGTATCCCTTTTAGCACACATGCAGTTCTCAGGCCTTAATTTTTTCTGAAATTTCTAGACCTTGTGTCATTATGACCTCATAAAAACTCTCTCTAATAAACAAGCATCTGAATTCCATTATCAAAAATACAGTTGGCAAAAATATTAATCAAACAACTAACTATGAAGAATAATTGAGTAATGTCATTACTTACGAAGCCAGTTCTTAAGCTTACGTCTGGCTGAAAATGGTTGTGTAATTATAAGTCAGAAAAAATGTAATAAACATAAGTTTTTACCTTATAAAATTTTAAAGAAAAATCATCATCCTCCCAAAAAAAGAAATATTGATTAAATTTTAACTAGCGAAATATATTTTACAGCGTAGCTCTGTAATATATTTCTATAGTAATACTAATAAAAACCTGATTTCATCAGTATAGATTTATTAACCTTTTATTCATAGAAATTTTAAAATGACTTAAATAAATATTATATAAAATAAAATAGCTACTAATAATTGGTTTAAAAACGAAATTCAATGAAATAAATTAATTAGTATACTTTGTATTTTCGTTTGATATCCACCTTCGATCTGGGTTTTTCAAGTACTCATACGGAGAAAACGGGAAGGTCAGTTAGAAGGTTTGGTGAAAAGTATATTTGATATTGTTTAATTTGTTCTTAAACTACTTCAAAGTAATTGTGTTGAAATTGTTTGGGAATTTTTTTTCTGGAACAGACGAAATATTACATAATCTGTTAGCTTACAGTGCAAGCGAAATATTTGTATATGTGTTAATCCTTAAAATGTGTAATTGGTCACTACATTAATACTGTGGTACTGTAACTAGTGTTAGTACCTCTACTAAGTAACTTAAGCCTTAAGGGATTTGTGTAATGAAAATTGTTATGCTAACACAGTAGTAAATTAACAAACGGCTTATAACTTATAAGGATAATGATAATTATTGTAGAAAATATACTACATGCTTCCATAGTACGAAATATATATTTTCTGGTATAATTATTATTGGGTTTGCAAGTCGTTTGTTAATTGCTAGTACTAGTAATTAGTAGTATTAATAACTATTACTACTAGTTGTAGTGGTGTCAATACTATTAGTAATTAAGTAATAAAGTACTATTACTTTTAGTAATACTGCCATTGATACACTAGTTATCTAGAAATTACTTAATGAAGTAGTGATACAGTTCCATGAAGTTTTAAGTAATAGAGCTATTATTAATAGGTTAACTATTAGTATTATTTTAATCATATTTTAAGGCTCTCACGTGTCATATTTTATTAATATTAGATCATGTCCAGTGATAAACAATGTACAGAACAACTGAAAGTGAGGTTTAATCATTTAAATTACTCCATTCGAAAAAATTTCCCTCAGACTGATTCTAGAAGTCTGTTCATCTTTATATTTTAATCTAAGCCAGCATTTAGCCCTAGTGAACTGTTTATAATCTCATCCTTATATTTAATCTAAGCCAGCATTTAGAAACAGTTCACTAGGAATAATCTCATCCTTATATTTTAATCTAAGCCAGCATTTAGCCCTAGTGAATTGTTTATAATCTCATCCTTATATTTTAATCTAAACCAGCATTTAGTCCTAATGAACTGTTTATAATCTCATCCTTATATTTTAATCTAAGCCAGCATTTAGCCCTATTAAACTGTTTTTAATCTCATCCTTATATTTTAATCTAAGCCAGCATTTAGTCCTAGTGAACTGTTTATAATCTCATCCTTATATTTTAATCTAAGCAAACATTTAGCCCTAGTGAACTGTTTATAATCTCATCCTTATATTTTAAT